GGTGCTTAAAATCTAACAAAATTTTAAACTACAAAAAATGAATGGCATTTTAATGCAACGACTGATGAAGAACAACAAAGTTTCTATTCATTCTTCTAACAATTATTTGATGTGACCACTGAAAGAGAAACAAATTGAGCAGTAGTACCTTGTTATGACTGACAAATTTATTACAGACACAAGCACAAGGTAGCTCAGCTGAAAAAGTTAGCTAGCGAAAGCTTGTGTCCCAAATAAATTTGTTAGCAAAGTCATAAGGTGCTACCCATTCTACTGTACTTGTTTTCATCACATTTATTAGTATATGGCTTCTATTTGTGTTATACAGGTAACTTGAAAGACCACAAACATCTAGTTTAAATATTTAAAGTGTTTGTATAGTTTGCTAATTATAGTCCTACAGTAATTAGTAACAGTAACCACCATTTGGATTATTAAAATTTTTAATACAGTACTTGTTTAATCTTTTTTTTTTTGTCTACACATACCAACATAGAGAAAAGCTAACACAATTATTCTGAGAGTTTAAAATCTCCCTTGTCTGTCACGTCCTCTATCGCGTCCTCTATCTCGATCTCTACGATCTCCACGATCACGACTACGACTTCTTGAGCGACGTCGGTCCCTTTCTCGACTACGGCTTCTTGATTGCGACCTTTTAATTTTCTTTCTGCGACGCCCATATAACTCCCTCCTGAGGTCTCTTGAAATAGGTTTCAAGTGCATGAAGTTGCAAAAACCACCACGTGTGCACTCGCTGTTAACAATAAAACAATACAGTAATTACAATCTACCTAATACTGATTTTGAACACAGAAACACTGTAAATGCTTGAATAAGCGCTGTTTTCGAATAACCGCCACTCTCAAATAAGCGTCTTCTTTATAACAGCATTTTTTTATAAATATTTATTTACGATAAAGAAGGACCTATGAGAGGTCTACTCAACTACAGGAATACGTGAGATAGGTAACATGGGAAGGAGCATGGGAAGCACCGTGGCACTTATTTGAGCCTTTACGGTACTACAAAACCTATCATTGCATGGTTATGGGAATGACAAAGGAATTAAAAGAAAAGAATTTGACACCACTTAACAGATGGCTTATTTCTAGACTTTCAGTGCAAAAATATAAGTTTTACTTACCCCATTTCATACTGTCTACAACAAGCTTCCCTAAAGTCAGTTACAGGAGAAAGCTCTGCTCGAATTGGTTGACCATTGAACCAACGGTTATTGAGGTCATTCACACCTTTCTCAGCATCTTCTTCGTAGCGGAACTACAAAAATATATTGCAACAAATGCATAAGTATGTTGTTAACTAATTTCTATTTCATGTATTCTTAAAATAAACATAAATACAGTAAAACATCCATTTTAAGAGATACATCCGTATCAACATAAAGAATTAACTTCAAAAAGTATGATTTTCAAAGAAATAAAACATATTCTTCTTTAAAAAAATATAATAATAATAATTGGTCAATTTATAAGACGAGACTTTTTTTTATACATTGTTTTGCGAACTTATTTTTTTAAAGAT